TCTGGGCACCCGAGAAAACTTAAAGAAATCGTACGTCATTTTCTTTAATGTGCAGGTACAAAGACGTAATACACACTAAATAAAAAAAAAAAAAAGGAAAAGAAAAGAAAAGAAATGAAAAAAAAAACGGAATTTATTTCAAATATGAATATCCACTAAAAATAACATTTGAAGTAATAAAAATGTTGGATTAAAATAAATCCATTCCATTAATTCTTCATACATATATATATATATATATATATATATATATATATATATATTGATACATGTTTCATTAAATAATATAGACAAGTGTTGTTATTTTATGTAAATTCTTTTCATATCGCCTGATAAGCTTAATAACATTATCATTAAACGAAGAAAGAAAATCACAATATTGATACATATTTTTTAATGCCATCTAAGCTTTCGGCTTACATAAGCCATCATCAAAGATGACAATTACTGTACAATATATTAAGCAATACACGGACAAACATTGATGATAGTCTGTTTCTGTTTACATGGAAGATTTCCAAGCAATCACAAACTCGGGCATATAAGACGTTGGAAGCGAAAATCACACCGCAGCTCATGACGTCACACATGATCACGCGAGAGTGAATTCGAGAAGCATTAAGTATGGGAAGCCGTTGGTATAAACCAATGGCTTCTGTTACCAGTTATAGACATTTAAGAATATTTGTGAAGATTTCATAGTTTATGTTGTTCAGGTTAGGTTTCAACTGTTTTACGTATATAGCTTCAAGCTATATACAAGCTTCTATCTTTGTAATTTTAAATATACTCCTCTCATTCTTTCTATTCTCTTCGAGGTAGAGTTAATTTCTTATGTTTTCTTTTGTCTTTCTTTTCTCTCCTCTTCCTTTTCCTTTTATTGATTTCTTATTTTCTTTCCTTTTTCTTTATAGAATTTTTTTTACCTTTTACTGAAAATCTTCCAAAAACGGAAATGAAGTGATGTTTCATAAATTGCAATTTTAAATAAAATCGTTTATTACCATCATTGATAACTATCTGATGAAACGTTTATTAAACGACGAAACAAAATGTAAAATTTTGTACTAGTAACTTACATGTTCTAATGTAACAGTGTATAATACACACATGGATATATATATAGTCATCCACAGACAGACGGTTTCGCTGTACCACAGCCCATCGGTGTAACTAGACGTCCGATTGCCTCCGGCTAGGATCGAAACCTGACCTAATTGGCGGCAACCAATGGACTCTACCACTAAGTCGTTGGCGCACGGCATGGATGAAGGTGAATTTAAGCGTATTTATTTTTAGATAAACAGTGACTGAGAGGACTCGATTCGATTTACTGGAGTGTCTTGCATAATAGCCGTAATAGTCACTGTTTACAAACTCACACTTCCTCCCCAGAGAAATAACCGAAATAAATATATATATATTATAGGATATATATATATATATATATATATATATATATGAATATGAAAAAGAGAGGGAACGGGAAATGGAAACAGAGGGACGCGACTATATATATTGAGTTATATATTTGAATCACAGTTCAAAGACAATATTTTACCACATTCTCCAAATAATCTGGAATTTGGAGCTGTTTAATTTAAAAGCTCAATATATAAACGTCTAAGAAAACGCTTCCTAATGATGACTTGACAGAATCAATTGTAAATGCGTTCTATGAAAAAGAAAATAAAAAAGTTAAAAAAAACTAACTTCTTGAGCCGAGTTTCAGTTCCGTTCTTATTTTGTGTTATTTTTTAAAATCACCAGGAAATTCATTTTAAATTAAAAACTTATTTTTATTACTGGAGTCTATAGGTTTGTCTTATTGAAATGCACATTCCCTGATGTATTTGTGACTCCAGATTGTCATTTTAAATCTTTTTTCGACATCTTGTATAAGTAATCGGATGAGGTTTATTTTTATAATCATAAATTATATTGATGCGCATCATTGGTGCATCGGGAGCGAGTGTTCCTTGAAACTCACTCTACGGATTCGAAACAAGCATGAGGCGATATTCTTAATGCATAAAAGGTAATTCGTTTGTGGAAAATCTCGGCATCAATATTTTAAAGCAAAACCTCGTGAAGAACAAAATAAATACCAAATTTATCAGGAAAAAAGATAAAATATTTTTTTTTAAATGATATTCAAAATGACTTATTTTTTAATGCCTTTCAATCTGGAAAATATTAAATAATTTAAAATAAAAAAACATTTTACGAAATAAAAGAGTATTAATGAACTAAGAGAATAGAAATGGAAATGATTCTTGAATGAATTAGAAAGTTGAATCCGACTGAAAGACAGCAAAAGGATTCAATGCTGATACACTTGGCGGTATAAACTACCGGGGGTGCAGTAAAACTCTCTGCTCAAAGAAGAAGAATGACCTAGGGACATGAAATGCATATACTATTCTACATATTAATCCCATTTCCCAAGATTTTTTAATCATCTTTTCCAAATTCTGATTGAAATGTTGAGATACTCTTTCATAATTACTAACATATCTATCTATCTATCTATCTATCTATCACCTTTTCTTCTAATTGTCATTTCCATCCACTGGAACAATTGCTGATAGAAGAGGTGATAAATTTACGCCCATTTCCGGTGTTGTGAAGATGTCCGCGGAGATCAATTGTATTCGTTCAGACATAATACATTAAATTATTTTGTTCTTATTTTTAATCTTCAAAGTATTTACAAATGTTACATTGTTCTCACAAAATTCCTAATTAGCGCCTGCTACTTTGTGATGTCTTATTGTTTTGTATATTGCTCCAGATCCTCAAAGGTTTTTGCTTGTCTTTTATTCCTGGTTTTCTTTTCTAAACTGACACTCAAAGTGGCTGCTTTGATCGGACTTGTCTCAATTATGTTTGTGTTGGGCGTCGAAAATACGAAAACTATTCAAGGTTCGTTCAAGAAATCCAAGTGAAGTTTCAGAAAAGTCTTCCATCCATATATATTTGATAAAAATATAGTTTTAAAGGTATTCTATATTTATGGGTTAAAGTGCTCAACGGGAGTATGTAAATATAATACTGGACATTGAAGACAACAACTAGCGGCGACGGTCTGTTTCATGCTTAAATGCAATGTTCGGGTCATTCGCTGCTGGGTGTTCACCTAAGTGTCACACACACACACACACACACACACACACACACGTGTGTGTGTAAAATGGTATATATTTTTTTACATACCAGAAAAATGTTAGGAAAATTAATGACAAAGCGGAAAAGGAGACATTGAAATGTTTAACTTTTAAATTAAATTTTCATTTTGTAGATGTGTTGGGTCAATATTCAAGCCAGTTTCATTAAGTTTCTTTTTGTTTTTATCACTTTTCTTATTAATTATGGCATAATGTGAAAATAGAACATCTGTCTAGAGATAAATACTGCTCTGTATGTAGAGATTCTTGACAGAATCCTAAGAAAGATCTTCAATGTCATCGGTCCGGGCATTGTTGCTTCAGTTAGCTTCCTACTGTCGTAGCATTGTTTGCCTGTGTATTTCTTCTGAATAGTTTACCTCTCTGCTACCACGTCTTTAGTGAGTTAAGCACAGTACTAGATTGACAGATAGATGCCATTTTACAGTTGAAATTGATAAGTAAACATAAGCTAGTGCCTTCTTCTCTCGTACTTCACATTTTTCCAGTTTCTTGCTTTCCTGTCAACGACAATCTTCAAAAATTTAAATGCCACGTCAATCGTCACTTCGTGGCTCCTTGGGTCGTTTAATGATTTTTTAAAATGTTTCTTTCTCGCCTCAACGTTTCTTTACTCTTAGTAAATCCTTTTGTTTTAGTGGCTTGGAGTGAAATGATGTAACACATTAAGGTTATGCATACTACGTGATAAGTATATGCAGAATAATTGTATGCATAGAATGAGATTTAGCACACGCACACACACACACGCGCGCACACATACACACACACACACACACACACACACACAACACAAACACACACGCACCCACACAAATGGGAATAAAATAAAAAAATCGAAAAAAGCTCCACGCTAAATGGCATCAACTAATACGTTTTACCCCAAATATCGAACAGAAAAATATGTATTCATAAGCGGATATGAAAAACCATCAAGAAATAAAATGAAGTAAAATACTGCACAAAACACAAATTTCTCAAATATTATGAATTGTTGATCAAATAATCGACCAAGCAGTGAAATGCGCGCTTCCTTCGTAGACTTAGTGGTGTGTAAGCCTACACATAACACTCGACAGTTCATGTGCTTATAAAATCTGCAATGTTCATTATATATTCACGTAAAAAGCATCCTTATAGAAATATTTCGTTATAGTTACTTCAAAGTTTACTGGCCTTACCGAAAGTTCATTGCAGATTTTACAAGTACAAGAGTCGGAGGCTGAATAGCATAAAACACACTACTAACTCCGAAAACATTCCTCAATCGCATTGTACATTTGACTGAAAAAAAAAACAAAAAAAAAAAAACAAAAAAAAAACAGAATGACATTTCGAAATCCTCTTGGAAGCTCTTTTAAAAATATTTTTCTTGTTTCAATGCTTGCCCTTTTGTCATGCACTGAAAACTTCACCAAAAACAATAATCAGGTTTAGGGATGTTACAACAGTATCACCAATAGCCACAACATCAGGTGGTAGGGAATTAACAAACAAACCAACAGGACTACACAGTGTTGTTCTTAATTTCTGTAGAAAAAAAGCGGCTTTATAAAACATGCACCAATTTGGGCATGCGCAAGAGTGAAGTCGACGGTCGGAATCCATCTTGGAGTTGCTTAGCTCGATATTTGTTTTTGTTTTTGTGAGTTGTGTCGTTAGTTTGCCGCGAATCTACTGACTAGCGGAATTTTGAATAGCAGCCGCGTGTAAAACTCCAGTTTGATGTGGGGCTCTGATGGTGATGATGTTTTAAGAGAAACTCTGTTGCAATGGGAGACAAAATCGATGCTTGTTGAAAGATAAAACGTATCATGAATTAATGTTGCAAATGACAACTCGAAGTACATGGGAAAATATTTTACAAAAAAAAACACGATATAGAAAGAAAGAGACACAAAGATGTAAAAAGAAAGTAAGTGAAAGAGAGAGAGACGAAGAGTGAAGATGAGAGAGAGAAAGCGTGAAATGGAAAGATGGAGGAGGAGTGAGAGGGAGGAAGAGTGAAAGGGAGAGAGAGAGGAAGTGTGAAAGACAGAGAGGAAGTGTGAAATGGAGAGAGAGGGGAAGTGTGAAATGAAGAGAGAGAGAGAGGAAGTGTGAAATGGAGAGTGAAAGGGAAAGAGAGAGGGAGAGTGAAAGGATGGAGAGAGAGTTTGAAAGGGGGGTAGAGGAAGAGGGAAAGGGGGAGTTAGAGGAAGAGTGAAATTGGGTGGGAGACTGCAAAAGCCAAAGAAAAGTCGAAGGAAAAAGAATGCTTGAAGCGAATATTGAGAAGGGCAAAGGTGAATTGAGAGAAGGGCAAAGGTGAATTGAGAGAAGGGCAAAGGTGAATTGAGAGAAGGGCAAAGGTGAATTGAGAGAAGGGCAAAGGTGAATTGAGAGAAAGGCTAAAGTGAATTAAATAAGGTTAACATTGAATTAAGTAAGAGCAAAAGTGAATTAAGTAAAGACAAAAGTGAATCTTTGAGTATGGATAAGTGAATTAGCGGAAAGGATAATATTAGGGTAAAGACAAAAGTGGTTTTCTAGGGTTGGGCAAAGGTGAATTGTGGAAAGGGCAAAAGAAAAATTGAAACACTAGGTAAAATTGTAGAATAATATATCGAAAAAAATTGTTGTCTAAAAAAGAAAAATGGCAAATAAAGCAGAATATGAACAAAAGAATGGAAATTATAAATAAAGTAATTTGTGTGTGTGTTTGTCTTTGGATGGATGGGAAAGAGAGATCTTATGAGAGATTGAAAAAAAAAAGCAATTGTCAATTTCCAAAGCTAATAAGCAAATGCAAAAGGGAAAATAGGACTGAGATGAAAGGAAAGAAATATGAGAGAGAAACGATGTTATAAAACATGTGTTAAAAAGTCAGCAGGTGGTGTAAAGCCAAGCAATTATCCCATGTGATGGACGTCCAACAAAAACCACCAAAGAGAGGGACTTCTCCCCTGGAAAGGAAAACAACCAAATTAAACCAACCGCATTCCACACACACAAAAAAAGAAAAGGAAAAAAACAAAAACAAAAAACAAAACATCACATCAAACACAATTGAGTGGGAGACAAGCACAGACAGGCACAGATCAGGAATATACTGAGAACACTAATTTTAATTTCATATATATATATATATATATATATATATATATATAAACGGGGTGTAATCTATTATTTATATCAATCAATAAATTAGTATATAATATATATTATTTTACATAGATATGCTGTGTATATTTTTGTATGCTTTGTCTCCCTAAACATTGAACGATATCGAATTATAATTACATTTAAATATCTCAATGTCATTAACATTTTCTTTCGGGAATTGTGTATTGCATTAAATATACACCATAGAAATAAATCTCACAAAATGTAGCTTCATATAAAATTAAAAATATAAGTACCGTTTTCTAAATGTCATTAATTAGTTCCCATTAAAGTGTGCATTTTATTCATTTTAAATTCAGTCAATAAACTTGTCATCCAAAAGATTTTGATATTTAGTCCCTTATGTCAAATTGTTATGGAAATCAGAAGTGGAAACTTGTAATCTGTATTCTGAAGAACACTATCTCCAACAAATGTCAGGCAGATAACCGCTAAAAATATTGACCGATGACCACTAGAAATTTACAATGAATTTTTCATAGGAAAATATTTTATTCTAAAATTCATGGAGAAAACTTTATTTGTAAATTATAAAAACATCAGATCATTTTAAATTTGTAACAGTTTCTGCGCGCGAATGAATGCTTTGTCTTATTTCTTCTTTTAAACTATTTAAACTTTTGTAAATCAACTTTTACCCAGATTCGAACGTTAGTTCGTCGTTGATATACAAGATTCTTTTAAGTTGGAAGGTTCATGTCGACAGACAAACACTTTTATTGTGCGAATATTCAAAGCGAATATTTTCGAAGCTTTTCAAGATCAAGACTAGGAAGTTTACACATTAGGACAGGGGTCGATTTTAGAACCGTGATATTGCACACAATTTGAAAGTTGCACTTTGACATGATAAATAATGAAAGAAAAACATTTTTCCAAATCGTTACGGTGTTTTTGAAGAAATGAGTTTAAAGCTTAAGTTTAGGTTCAGAATTGAAGCGTTGGAATTTAATCAGTGAAAGCACAACCTTAAAAAATTTCCAATTGAAATATATGCAGTTGGTTTGAAATTAAAAATGATAATAAATTCCATAACCAACAACTTTATATATTCAACATAATTGAGAGTCTAAAGTCGACCGAAATACAGAATGTTGTATTAAAAATATTAGAGCAAAATACTTTCGTCTTGTTTCCAGAAGATAATCTTTTCTCAATGTTGAAGTCAGATGAACTGGAAGTGAGGGAAGAGGTTATAAAAATGTTGTCCATGAGATAAGTAAAGATTTATTCATAATTAGTTATGTCATTTTGAAAGACTAATTTTAAAATTTCATTCAAATTACATCGCAAATATATAATCAAATCTGAGTAAATTTTCTAATAAAAAAATATTTTTTCTTGTAAGTAACGAGACAACAAAGAAGAAATGTAAAAAAAATGACATTCATCAACCGTGAAGCGAGAAATTGGTCATATTTTAATAACCTTTCAGAAAATGGAGTTTGTGACCACCTTCACTTGCAGAATGGTTTTCAAACAATGAACTTCAAGAGATTTTAATGAATGGAACGACGTTGTAGATGTCGAATTAACCTGCACATTTGCAAGGTGAGGAAAGAGCAGTTAAATTAACTACTAAAGCTTCACGAATTGTATATAGACATGAAGCAAGGTACAAGCACATTATTACTAAATCACTGTGCCATCAAATAAGACCTTCATTTACTTCAAAGGGAAATTATACTGAATGATTTAGCTATATTATGATATGTTATACAACGCAGTAGATTTAATGCGATTTTCAATAAACAAACTTAAAACACTTTGTTTTATAATTTGTGACCAACAGTATTATTATTTTATTTACACTTTAAATCTATTTTTGAAATTAATTCTGACTTAACAAATGGTGTAAGATCTTATTCATTGATTAGCCTTTTTTGTAATCTTACAATTTTTACAGTTTTCACTTATCGAATAGAGTAAAAAATTGCATATTTTGCTTGTGATGAATTCTGGTTTCCATTCAATGTATCTAATGAAAAGGATATCAACTTTATTTGGATTTATTCTTGAAATAGAAAAACTTGTGAAGTCAGTTTGTAAGCAAAAAATCTGCGGAAATTAGGTATTCCTGTACATTTTTTCAGACAAGCTTTAAAACTAAATGCTCAAAGATTGGCAAAAGCTAAGTTTTGGTGTTATCATATTAAACCACAGAATGTGCATCGAGTGCAATATTGGTTTTATTAAAAAAAGGGGAAAACACCCTATCCTACCATACATCTCCAATCAATATGAAATTCTATTAAAATAATCAGCGTTTATCACAATATATATATTTTACTTACATACACGTATACTAATATGAACATTAGTTCATATTAGAACATAGGCGATCATGACTCTTCCTAGTTTTGTTTGATTTATTATATGGGAAGTGTCATGACTTATGGAGTAGTTTTCCGTTTTTCCAATATTTCAAATTCAGAGTAGTCCTCAGAGGCTGGCAGACAACCAAGGCTAGAGATCCCAGTCTACTTGGTTTTTAAATTAGGCTGTCTAAAAATCATGTTCAGAATACTTTTTTTTCCGTCATTTAAAATATTCTCTCTCTCTCACACACACACATACACACATATAGGATAGCATGTATAATCGAAGAGTACTGGTCAGCAAGCTGGTCTCGTATATTATTAATATTAAATAGTTAAATCAATCTTCATTGAGTGTCTCATCCTTGTGGCCTTGTATCAAGACTGAGCTTATATATCGGTACGTCAGCAGCTAATATGATCATTTATTTTACAGAAGAAATATTTTTCCACGTTATTTCTTATCAAAACTCGATTAAAAACTATCAGGTTGCAGACTTACTGATCTATTATGGTATATCATCAAGTATAATGAAATCTATGCCTATATCTAAAAGTAGATGTATAAACAAAATCTAAAACCATTTTAACCACTTGACCAAAACTATCGATTTTTTTTATTTTCGGTGTCACTGTAAAGCGGATTTAAATTATTTGCAATGTGTATATTAACGGTGGAGTAATGGATAGCGGCTCGGATTGTGGTAATTGGAGATCCGATTTCGAATTCCAGTCAAATCCATTACATTCACTTACATGCTAATACCCTTGGGAAAGGTATGAATCCTCTTCTCTCCCCAGTTATGAGTAAATAGCAGGACAGACCAGGTTCTATAGTCTTGGATGGCAACTAGTCTACCGCAGAAAGAAATGGCAACCTAATGCGGGAAAAATCTGCCTCGTCAGTCATATATCGAAAGATAAATGATCGCTTAAGCGTGTATCACGCATGTCACATAACTGAACTGAAGTGTATTGTCACTGAATGAAACATTGCATATTTCGATTTCTGGTCGATTTGCACACACACAATGTTACGGAAACCACTGCATTTCATAAACAAAATTCTCGAGCAGCCGATATGAATCATTTCTTTTAATTAAAGACTCTTGACTGGGAAAAAATACGAGTTAGTGTCTAAAAGTATTTTACTAATTCAAAAAGAAAAAAATTGAATTACTGCTTCAGAATAAATCACCTAAAAACCGAATGTTTTTGATCGCTCGAACTTCTAGTCAAATGCACTTTTCAGAAATAAATAGCATTTGATTTTCTTAATAAAAAGGGCTGTTAAATGAAAGTTGATATTCAGTTGATAAAGTATAAACCTTTTGTTTTTAATAAGCGATTTTATATATAATAGATTCAATTACAAATTCACGTCAAAACATTTGTTTTCAATTATCTTTGAAAATAATTGAAATGTGAAAGAAAGACTAAAAGATTTGTTCCCTAAATTATTTGCTTCAGTCAACGCAAAAGAACTAATTTGAAAGAGGCTTCCAAAAGGGAGTGACTGTCCTCTAAATTATCTCACTGACTTTTGACATTTCGTTTAATTAATTTTATTGATTCAACTTAATCTTTTTAAAATAATATTCTGCACTAAACAGAAGCAAATCGATTCATTTTTTGAATAATACAAAAAAAATATCACATATTTATACGGCTGCAAAATGTTAATTTCGAATATCTCTATATCGAGTAATCCCTAACGGAAATGAAAAGTAATATCTGAAGTTTGTAAAGGAGCCATAGAGACAAAATAACTGAGTGCTATTTACTATAAAAGAACATCATCTTGTGTATCATATGAAATGATATGATTCTTTAATAAGTAAGTGTTTCTCATTTCAAGAGATATTTGTCCGTTTTTTTCTCCAAGAAGAAGATCATAGTACCTGTTGAAAACTCTGAATCTAAGTAGCTGCCTAGGGACTTACACTAAAAGAAGAGACAAGAGTTTTTGTCAATAAGACTAGCGTGTTAGTCGGAAGGGAATCACATTTAAAAACCTGCCTGTCTGTACAGTGCCAGCTCCCATTGAAAGGTCACCAGGTTGGAGAAGAGAACCTTACCTTGAGACGTCCAAAACGACCAATCTGAGAGTGAGAAAAGTAGACAGTAGTTTAGATGAGGCTTTTATTGCCATCATCATCATCATTGGAACCATCATCATGATGGTCATTAAGAAAAAAAATGAAAGAAAAAAGAAATGACGTTTGGTGGAAAAATGTTTGTCACTTGCTTTTCTCTTCTTTTCAGTTGAGATATTAGAAAAAAATCAATCAAGCGAAAAGAACTTCATGCAGAATTTTGCAAGAACGTATCATTAATATACATTAATTTATTTGCGTATACATTTTAAACATGTCTTTTTTCAGCATTTATTGAAGCCATTGTCTTCTTCGGGTGAGCAATCAAGTAAATCATGTCGATATTTCTCGTTGCAATTTCCAGACATCTTCAGAGAATCTTATTGTAAAGAACTCCTGTCTCACTGAGCTTGTTATAAAATGTTTTGTTTAAGAAATGCTTAAAGATGATCAGACATTTATCTGTTAAAACCATTATGTACTTGGAAGAAACCAGTGAAACCTTAAGCCGAACAATACGCACTGAATACCCACTTGAATTTTACAATGTTTCATTATAACTATTCTCTAAAACATCATATTGCAATTTCTTAACATACTGATCAACCGATGAACAAAATATCGTCGTATAAAATAGCAACAGTTTCAACTACAGTCGATCTGAAAATATATATGAAATAAATGAGTTGAAACCAATCGGATTTTTTCTCAGTGTTCTGTGAATCTAAAAGTTCGACTAGCGTAAAATGAGTGACTAATATTAGTATTTACAAAAGCATCTAACCAGTGGTTGCAATTCAGTCATCTTGATTTTGCCGGATGGTGAGAACATTGCAAAGAAACTTGTGTCGCAGGTACAATTTCAACACCAACGATTGCTGCTTCATGAATTCATTAAACAATCTGTTTTTAGGAAGATTCGAGCAACACATATACAATCCTAAGATTCAATTTGAATTAATTCTTTAAAGAATTTTCTCTTTGAAATAGATTAAAATATTATTTCAGTCATTTGAAAAGGCATAGAGGTATAGAGTATTTTTTACCGAAGACAAAAATCTATTAAGAGGATGAAGAATTGATATTGTTACTGATCTATTATGAAAGAAATAAGCATTTATTTCCCCAGTTCAATTTCTATTGACCTAAACTTAAAATTACAAATCTCAGATTAGCTACATCAGCAAAGTTAAAGAGAAATATATAAAACTGAGACGTTGCAAAATTCAGAAACAGGAAGTGTGAAGTTCGAATCAAAAAAATGTCTATCTTTTGGAAATCTAATAATTAGATCAACAGGTGTAAATAAATCAAATCAATCAACAGGTGTAAATAAATCAATAAGTAAGCACAATTCTGAAGCTCAGTTGACAAGATGAAAGGTTTTTATAGAACAAAAAATAAAAGAAAAATTAGGAAAAATGACCAAGAACTGGAAAAATGACTTAAAAATGGTGGAAAAGGAAAGAGTGACGTGGAAATTGTTAGAAAGAAACAGTGGTGTTAATAAGAGGTTAATTTAAAACGAGGATCGAAGATTATCAAATAATAATAAATAAGAGTTAAGAAAGTAAATAAAAATCAAATATTGTAAAAAAGTTCATCATGCGAGATGAAATGCTCTTCTTTCACATGGTGATTGTATCTAGATTTGTCATTTTCTTGACTTACGTGCAGGGCTTAAGGTTCGTGTTTCTGCATTTGTGCTTTTTTAGGTGACAATTAAGAGTAAAACTGGACAGCTATTTATGATCAGATTTGATAGCAGGCATTGAATTAAAGAATGAATATTATAACATTCTGCTAGCAAAATGTTACATGTCCGTGACATCCATCAATATAAGAACAGTCCTGAAATTCCTGCTCATAATTTAGAATTCTGTTTATCATTTTGACTTATTTGCAAACTTTGATTATAGTTTAGGCCTTCTGGGATAAAAAGAGATTGTCGAAGAAAATAAGAGAGAGACAGAAAAAGGCTGGATGTTAAATAAAACAAGCCAATAAAATTATGAATAATAATGAAGAAAAGAATGAAAAAGTAAAGAATTATAAGAACAATAAAGCAACGAAGAAAGAAGGCTGGAAAGGATAAGTATTATCCTCTTGTAAACATTAGCAAAATAATAATTTATTTTCGATATTAATGTTGATTCTAATTGAGTATATAATTATTGACTTTTCCTTTGCTTCCTGTTCTTTGTTATCAGTTGGGACGAATTTAGAATGTTATGCGTAAAAGAAATGAGTAACCAACGTTTCTAAAGTGTAAACAACCCAAACTTTAAGTAATTACTGATCAGTTTTGATCGGAGGAGTAAGCAAACGAAAGACAAAAACAAGACAATAACAAAACAAAACCAACAAAATAATGATAATAAAAAGAAATGAAAAAGGTTGAAAGATTTACTGTGTGGTGAGTAAGATAGAAAAAAAGGGAAAATTAAGTAAGAGAAAGATTTGAAAGCATTAAGATATTAATATTAGTGAAAAAAAGAGGAAAGTTAAAGAGCATATGAGAAAGTGGAAAAAACATGTAAAAAAGAGAAAATCGAAAGAGAAGTAAGATGAAAAAAATAAGAGGAAAAAAAACAAACAAGAACGGAAACTAAGTGAAATAAAAAAAAAAAAAATTTTTTTTTTTATCCAGAGCATTAGAAGATGGATCTAGCATAGGTTATATTATTGATTACTGCTTAAATGATTCCGGTTCTAGACACGATGAATAATTATGAAAATTGTCCAAATCCCCAAATTACACATCAATATTATAACCTATGCTACATTCAGCATCTAATGCTCTGGATGGGACGGCTCGCTGAATGATGTCTTTGCTCTAGGGACCAGTCCTGCGAGATCTGTATGCCTGTATAGTGTCACCAACAGCAAGTTATGAGCTGTGCTATATTACATCTAGTAACATTGTTTCCACCTCGCCAACATAGGCCGTTAATGATATGATGCTTGCATTGTAACCGAGCGGTCCGGGTTCGACTTTCAGAGTCGATAGAAGATGCGTACTGATGATGAGCCGCAAAGTGGACGAAACGATCGCCAAGTGCTCTTCTGCATGTGAATACTTTGAGGATCTCTTTATATATACGCATATATATACATACATATATATATATATATATATATATATATATATATATGTATATATCCATATAAATATATATATATATATATATATATATATATATATATATGTGTGTGTGTGTGTGTGTGTGTGTGTGTGATATATATATATATATATATATATATATATATATATATATATATATATATAAAGATATGTGTATATATATATGTGTATATATATCTTTTATATATATACATACACACATGTTTGTATATATATGTATGTATGTAATGTATATATATGTGTGTATAGATATATATGTATTCATATGTATATAGATATATGTGTATATATATGTATATACATGCATATGTATATATATATGTAAATTTATATTTATATATATATATATGTATGCATACATCTATATATATGTATGCATCAATATATATATATATATATATATATATATATATATATATATATATATATATATATATATATATATAACCTGTAAATATATAGGTGAACCACGGATTTAAAAAAAGGGAAACGGAATGTTTTCTCGGTCTTTACTCAGGGATGAAAACGACACAAAGGGAGTCAGCGAAAAACAGACCTAAGATGATGGATTTCAAAATAAAATATTTATTTATAAATACAGAAAGATGCAAAGAAAGAAAAAAAAATTCGTTTAACATAAAGGAAAGGGATCATGAAAGAACAGAAGGTACTAGCGAATACACACACACACACACGCACACACATATATATATATATATATGTAAAGATCAAGCCAAGAAATCAACTTATCTGTCTTGATGGGTCAGTCGAGATGATATGGCCACACAGAGTTTTAATTTGCTGAAGGGAGAGTTCTTATGCTAAAAGAATATTTTGCCGGGCGGTAATTTTCCTGTAATCTAATTATTTCGGAAATGGTCGGGAATCCACAGCATCGAATACGGGTATTCATTGGCCGATTTACTTTGTTAGCAGTCCCTTCATTCTCTAGTCTTCTTTATTCCGAGGGGCAGTCCATTTAGAATCGGGACGATCCACTCGAAGATGTTAATCTGTCACTGGTCAGACGGGAAACTGAAACTTTTTTATTTTAGATTTTTACCGTCCCCAAAGATCGTCACGTGGATTCCCTCCGTTCTTGACCGGGAACACAAAAGGATGGGGTGCAAATCATGAAATGTGATGGCCAAAGATTCAATAAATCCTCCTTAGGGTCTGATCACATAATCGCAGCATGAAATCCTGATGGTACCTGGAGTTCACTTATGGTCAACCGCCCGATTGTCGCGTGATTTTGGAATCAGTTCATTCTCGCGACGGATCGCTTCACGGACCCTTGGCTTGTAGGTGGGAGAGAAGGGAAAGACAGAAAGAATCGGAAGAGAAGAGGAGGGCAATGCTGATCAGACACCATATTCGCTCGCAAGTTGAAAACATGGTATTTCATTTATTTTTATTTTTTTTATTTATATCTAGAACTAGAAATTTTTTATATATATATATATATATATATATATATATATATATATATTATTTATACATTATATATATATATATATACATTATGGATATATATGTATAAATTTGTGCATATATGTTTGAATACATTTGTACGTATATGTATATGTACATATCTATATATATATATATATGTGTATATCTATACGTATATATATGTATACAAATTTATGTATATATCTACTTATATATATATATATATATATATATATATATATATATATATATACATATATGTATATATCTATACATATATATACAGATATATATATCTATATATATATATATACTTATACATATACATATATACACACACACACATATATATATATATATACATATGCAAATCTAAATATATATCTATATATACATATACATATATAACACACACACACACATATATATATATATATATATATATAATGGACTCTTTCGACGTATGATGATCTGACAACTTAATTGATTCAGTTATGAAATTTTGTGCGATAATCTTAAGTAGCACTTAAGACCTACTAGTAATTTGCAAAGGAGACCGCATATGGAGAAAGAGTAGGGATTGTGGGATGAGATCACTGTTAGATTGGATGACCTTTTAGATTTTGATCTCGCTTCTTGAAGATGATTCAGATAAGCTGATTGCAAACTGCTGAGTCCACTAGAACATGTTGATCTCCATTCTACCGGCTCTAAGGCTAAGCGCTCGAGAGTTTTATGAGGTATATTGACAGCTGACAAATTGCTCTTCAGCTTGTCTTTTTAACTTAGCCATGAGCGTCCTACATTCCTGTAGCTCTGATCTTGGGTATCCTGCCATCAGACATTCTCAACACATGACCATTCCACCGTAACTGAGACTGTATGAGAAAAGTCTCGATTCCTCCAATATTACACCTGTTAAACAGGTCTACGTTAGATGGCCTATATTGAAGGTTAACTCTGTTACGGTTTTTTGGGTATATATACATATAACTAGTGAGCGAGTCAGAATGACTTATTCCCCTTTATAGTCGACCAATGGGAGGTTGACCAATCAGAAGCCGCACAACACTGTATTCGTCGTGTATAAAGGCGGCCATCTTGTTTCGTCTACCAGAAGGACCAAAGGTGACCAGGAGAAGGATGAACTACACTCTGCTGTGATATCCACTGCGAACCTTCACTACGCGTTCCCACTGTCTCCGAAATATTCACTGCCAATCCTTGGATTCAATACTCAAGGACGACCGTCATGGAAATGTCTAACAAACTCCATAGATTGCACGCAGATAGCTTTTATGGAAAACATCCAGATGGCGTATATGGTAGCTGTATGGAATCCACGACCATGAGCCGTACAAAAGTATGGCAAAGATAACAGCGCTGTAAACCCGAATTTTCTTATCCAGTCGACTACCCCACTCATTCCATAAGACGTTTGCCGAAAGCACTGGTAGCCTTAGCAAGCCGATTCATGATTTCATCATCTGTAGTTGACTTTGCTACCAAGATAGGTGAAAGATTTTACATAGTTCAGCGTTTTGTTTTCTACTTTCAATGGTCTCTCTGGAAATTTGTAGACCTGTGGTTTTTGTTTCTCGCCACAGAATTGCTTCGGGGTAAGACAAGGTTGGTGCACTACTTCAGTTTTCTTTATGCTAAGTGTAAGACCAAAGTCCTTTGGTCCAATCCTGCATGTAAACAAAAGTCCAAATCCTGCATGTAAACATGCAGCAGAGAAACGATTTATTAGATGTTGGGCCTCCTGAAATGATGTCGCAACAAAAGCAAAATCATCAGCAAACAACAAATCACGAATAATTTGTGTAAGATGGTGAGTCTTGACTTTGAAGTGCTGATGATTGAAGAGACCACCAGTTGTTCGAAACTGAATGTTGACGTCACTCTTTGTGTCTGCGAGTACATATTTCAGCATCACCGAAAAAAAAGGGCAAAAGGACAGGGGCCATGACACACCCTTGGTTGGTGCCGTTTGTGACATCATACCATCAGACACGATATTAGCTTTCATTCCTTCATGAAAGGAGATGATGACCTTTAGCTTGTTTTCTGGTATGCTGAGTTTCCTCAAGACTTGCCAAAGATCCTCTCAATTCACAGTGTCAAAGGGCT